TTTTTAACAGTTTAAGCTCCAAAATCAGGAAAGTGTCTTTCAGATATATTCTAAAAATCATGACCTCTAAACTTGAGCCATTGTCAATTACAGATAAAGAGGTTTTCTTTACCTGTGGACTAGACTATAAGTGGTGGTGTACGGCTACTTACCTGCTTTTTGGTTTTGTCGTCTTGTTTAAGGGGGCGTTTCCTGGAAATCTGCAGCTGGTTCTGGTGCTCAGGCCGTCTAGGTTTTTCCAAAGGACGATTGCTGACATTGGCATCAGGCTGCACAAAGATGACTTTAAAATGAAGGTAAAATACGAAAGCTTTCTATTGAGTAAAAAAAGTTTGACCTCAGTAAATGAACCGACCATTTGCACATCTGTTTTTAAATGCTATAGTAGAACTGCGTACCATAATAGTTTTATGTTAAAGCCAGGTGAATTATGTTGTGTAAAATTTGCAGATTGTGATGCTGAACTCTTTGTCAGACCTTCATGGCTATGTGGACAGAGGTCAACTGACCCTGGAGTTGGGGGGAAGTTTGGAGTATTGTCACAGTCAGTGGATCCACCACCGAACCGTGAGAACGCATGGACAACTTCATTGCAACGCTTGTGATCCAGTGACATCGCAGATCACTCAAAGAATCCTATTGATCTGATTTTCTTTTTTTCCCCGTAGGCCATAGAGAGCTTCGCAGTCACAGTGAAGACCACGGCAGAGATGTTACAGAAGTTTGGAACTGACCTGGCAGAGACAGAGTTACCTAACGATGTCCAGTGCACCAAAGACCTTCTTACTGCACACAACAACAAACACAACAACCTCAAGGTTCATACAACAACACTCAGTGGTGGACGCAGACTCTGTTGCCGATGGATGAAGCATATCTGCAAACATAGACACATAGAATGCTTGATGCCAGTGTGTGTGTGTGTTACAGGATGAACTAAAGCTGGCACTTAAACAGGGCAACACCTTGTTGACTTGTATCAGACATCAGGCAGCGAAGTCTGAGAACCAACCACTGAACCCAGATGAGAAAGAGAATCAGACTACAGTAGAGAGGTAACAACATCCTTATTTCTATGCTCTGGACTAGGGGTGGCTCAATACAACGTTTTCATATCCGATACCTTTACTGCAACTGCCGATAATTTCTGCCGATACCGATGTCAATCTGTTACCTTCTCATCTCCTCCAGCATGTCT